GACCATGTGGCATTCTCCATCTCGACCTTTTCAGATCTATTGTGGATATTTTTCAATCGTAATTAAGAGGTTCCTTGTATAGTACGATCTTTTGTAGTAGACTCCATAGACTAGGCTTAGTTAGTTGGCCTTGGTTTTTCTTTTCCAAGGGTAAAGAATACTAGTCTTGAAAGACCTTCGCAGTAGCAAAATACGTGTACTGCAGTTTCCTCCTCTTCCTGACAGAATCGGCGTAATGTCTCTTCTATCACATTGATATTATACATATGTTTGTTAAGCCTATAATGCCCTGTTAAGATAGCTACTAGTATTCTAGTATTTTTCCTATTGTGGCTTAGTAGATGATCAGTGAGTTTAGGTGATGGTCCTTTTAAGAACTCTTTGGCCTGTCTCTGTCCTGGTGAATTTTTTCAGCATTCCTGAGATTTTTAAAACAGCCACTTCTTTGTTCATGTTCTGATAGCAGTCTTTGTGACACTACAAAAGGATTCTGGGCCAATAAGAGCCTTCGAGGCTCCTTCTCGGACTACTAAATTAGCCTCATTGTTACCCTTATGTCCTCTGTTAAGGTTAGTATGTTTTGACTACCCAGCTCCGTTAGGACTTTAAACAGTACACAAGCTTTGAATGTACCTGCATAGAACTGAGGGCTTTTAACTCGCCTGGCTGTCTAAGTATATGACAATGGTTTTTCGATTTACCTTAAATCTTAATACCTCTTTTGTAGTGATGTTTTGCTGCTATTTCTGCCTGGAATGCTGTCGCATGGTTACCTAAGCTCAGTGAGATTATTTTCTTTGGCTTGGTTACTATATATACCTACTCCTGAACCTTAATGGGTTTTGTAGCCGTCTTTATACCAGGTGATTTCTGCGCGAATAGGAGGTTCTCCCATCTGTGCTTCCCTATCTGGTATATTTACTTTAGATTGCGTTTAAAAGCTATACTTTGGGAACATTTCGTCTGAAAGTATTTCCATTATTTGGTGGTTCTCAAGCTCTTTATATAGACCTTTATGTAGACTTTATGTGTCAGACCTGGCTTCGCCTCGAATGAATATATTTATTGGTGTTAGGTTTAGCATGACCACTACAGCTGCTGTTGGATTCGTTCTCATGGCTCCCGTGGCACTCAGGCATGCTTGCCTTTGAATACCGTTGAACTGTCGAATAGCTCCAGCTTGCCGAGTCTTTGGCCATTATACCACCGGTTATTCCCTCCAATTTTTCCAAACCAAGTTAAAGTTAAAGGATGTTGTACTCTTTTGGGTGACTTTTGCAAGTGTGTATTCCATGTTAACCTGTGGTCAAAGCTGACTCCCAAGTATTTCGCCTCTTGAACAAATGGTGACTTTAGTCCTGTCAGTACTTTCGTTTTATGAAGTTGACTATTGTGGTTTTGTGAGGGTTTACTGATAGTTTGGGTGACCTCAGATATTTTACCTACGAACTTGCTTCTCACGACGATTACTATCACCATCACCTAGGTAGTAGAAATATGCAGTTATTAGCCATTTTATGAGTTCGTCTTCTAGGACTGACCAAAAGAGGAAGGATAGTACTCCTCCTTGAGGACAGCTCCTGCCTGGTTCTAACAAAATTTCTGCGACTGGAAAGTGTGCTTTCTGTGAAGATGTGTGTGTTTCAGTACCTCCTCACAGAATTTCCTTTTAGCCTTTGTTATCTCCTTGTAACACTGTGTGAGTTTAGCCCTATACTTCGGTTGATTTGGCTGTATTAAATAGCCTTCACACTTCACCTCTAAGATGTTCTAAGTATTTGTTTTACCAGACTGTTTTTGTTCTTTGCTATCTTGTTTTCTCTAGACAGTTTTTCTCGTAAGTGGTTATAATAGCCTTACTTACTTGGTCTACTGCTCGGTTAAGGCTTTGTTTACCTGTCATTTTCTCCATACCCTCTTGGGTTACAGTATTTTGTTGAAATTCAAGGTGGGGTAATTAGATCAAATCTAATCTAGCTGAGTCCGCGCAAACAACTACCAAATAGCCTGGCTTGTAGCTGCACTTTGCGAACCTCACCTGTGTTTCCTCTGTGAGGATTTTATCGTGGGCCTCGGAGATCGAGTTTTGGACTTTTTATAGTCTCTGTGGACTCATTTTATTCTCTGGGAACCCTACTGCTACCACCGTTTTTTTTGTTTGGACGAGACCTCGTCCGTCCCTTTTTCCTCAGTCGGCTGACCTTTGGCGGTGTCGCGTCTCTTGAGCGTGGGCGCTTCGAATCTTTTGTACCTTGCGCCCTGGTTTTTGATATTCTAACCTCTGGGACTTTGGTGGTCTTGCTTGGACTTTTCAAAAAATTTCCCTAATTAACTTCCTTTATGCGGCTTACCTCGTCCTCGGTCATTTGGTCTACCACCACTTCCAGGGAGGAGACGATGATTTTACGCCTTTTTAATATGTTTTTAGCCTTCACAAGAGGTGTGTTGCCTTCGTCTTTTCTTCTTTCGAGGTTGACGTTGTTGCCTTGCTTTGTTCAGCATTGTTCAGCAGTAAGGTCATGATACTCTGGGAGATGACCCAGTGTCCCAGAGGCTCCGTTTGCAATACTTTAACTAATATAATTCCGTCTTCGGTACGAGTCGTTTTAACTTGGAGATGTTTAAGTCTCCTCACCCTACTTACATCTGCCACTAGCCAGAGATTATGTCCGTCCTGCTATCTACCACCTGGAGACGCGCCCAGTAGGCACTCAACCTTCGGGTTCTATAATGGATTTGTCTGTACTTTAGTTTGTTTTATAACGAGTGATCAAAAATAGTTTCTATTGTAGACCATAATCGAGAAATACAGAGCTCCGATTAACATCATATCTATTCACGTCTTTAAATGAAATCCAAACTTTAAATCTTAAAAAAAAGCATTGTAAGATGCGTCATGGCCTGGAAACATATTTTTTGGGAACACTCCCTAATAAGCTGTATTAGTTTGACATAATATGTGTGCCAAACAAAAACAAACCATATAATCATGATTAAGACATACGTTTTGAGTTTTTTTTTTCTTAACTATTAGGAATGAGACACAGACCAACTGAAGATTCTCTGATTAAAAATGAGACGATTAAACGAAATATTTTTAATTAAAATATTACTCGTTTCCAAAACAAAATTGAAAATTTAAAAATTATTAATAACTATAATTATTTAATTACTCAGTATAATTTTACTAAATTTGGCAAACTTTTTAGCGTAATTTGCAGAGGCGTACGTCATCGGTAAGTAACATCTGTTCTAAATTTTACGCCACTGCCCAAAAACTTATTTTAACTATAACTGTATTATTATATTTATTTTTTAAATAAATTATACTCTTGTTGAAAGTTTATAAAAAAAATTCAAAATTACAAAATTAACAAATAAATTAAAATGAAGAATATCCACCTTTGATTGTGAATATTCCGAAAACCAATCGTTTTATAAGTTCCTAACAAGATTTATTTAAAAACATCAACAAATTTAAAATTATAGTCCAAATAAGTTTTTGGACAGTGGCGTAAAATTTAGAGGGGTTGAAGGTGTTACTTATCCATGCCGTGCGCCACTGGCAAAGTTTATTTAACTATTGATAGGTGTATCTTATGACATTTAAACTGTTTGTTGAATTTAATAAAATTATAATTAAAATTAAAAAAAAATTAAAGCCATTAATAATTTTGAAATTTTAGTAAATGTCAACAATAAAAAATCCTTTTGTCAAGCATTTTCTGTAAATATTAAACTTAATTCGCATTTTTTTACTAAACCACAATTATTTTCATATATTTTATAATAAAATAAAATTATTATTGAAATTGAATATATAAAAAATATATTATACATCTTTCTTAATACTTAGTGTATAAATGATTCGATTCTGAGGCTTTAAGAGAAAGATAATGTAGATTCTTTTCAGAATCCATTTTACAAATTGAATAGACGCAATACTAATTTTAAAGAGGTTTTAAGACACGCTTTGTGCATAAAACTTTCTTGAAACTGGAATGAAAGTAAGCGGAATTTAGGAACAACATATAACTTTTTCTTTGAACATTTTTAGTTTTTTTATTTCTTTCACAACTACGTGCAAAATGGATTAAAGTTTAATTGGAAAGTTCACATATAAATAGGTTTTCTTGTACAAAAACTGCATACATTTTAGTTTATAAAAGAAAAAAGACTAATACTTTTAAAAATCATTTTGTATTTCAAACTTCATATAACATTGCGACTTTTTCTTTTTAAACGGTTCAAAGATTTTGAAATTTTGAAATCTTCTCACAACAATTTTGAAAATAATTTTTATTTTACCTGAGCCTCTGTCTTTCTCCTCTTGTAAAATATATTCGAGTTTCAATAAACTCTAGGAATATAAATCATTAAATGCTACCAATTCCGTTTTTGTGCAATAGCATTTCTTATACCTGCGTTTATGAACGTTATTAAGTTGAGGTCTTGCTGCTCATTTCTTCATTTTCAAGCAATTAATCTTTGTTTTATAGAAGAGGCAATGTACACCTATCTCTTGAGTCCTTCTAAACCCAATATACAAATATAGCGCCTCCTATAGTAGAATAGCAAGGAAGACGCACAACATCAATACCATGTGTTTTTGCAAGTTCATCAGCTACATACGTAATTTCACTGTTTCTAGTAGTTCTATTTTGATTGCTTTTTCTGGAAAGTTATTGTTTGTGTCTGTTAGCCGCTTAATGATATTTTTTTCATGATGTGTTTGGCACACGTCCAATTAGACGAGAATAGTAACTAGTTTTTGAAACACTCGGTGTTGGTAGATTAGGTATATTAATAGTTAATGTCGGAGATTTTGGATCTGCTACATTGTCAGTCGTTTCTTTGATAATAGTTTCACCTCATCCTTGTCGTTCTTTCCATTCGCCGTGCCAATCCTGCGACCACTGGCCTTCATTTCCATGGCCTGCAATATGTCCATGTCTATTTCCATGACCATGAACATGAGCTAGTCCATTTTTCTTATCTTGTCAATTGACATGAGCTTGAATATATCCTACTAGGTTTTCATTACTTTTTCCATTGACATGACCTTGAATATATCCTACTAGGTTTCCATGATCATGTACATTGACATGGTCTTGAATATGCCCTGTTAGTTTTCCGTGACTTTGTCCATTCCCATGACATTGAATATGTCCTACTAAATTTCCATGACCTTGTGCTTCACCCGTTCCATGAGCTTGAATATGCCCTACTAGATCTCCATGACCTTGTGCTTTACCAGTTCCATGAGCTTGAATATGTCCTACTAAGTTCCCATGGCCTTGTGCTTTACCGGCTCCATGAGCTTGAATATGTTTTACTAGGTTTCCGTGATCTTGTCCATTGCCATGACCTTGAATATGTTCTACTAAATTTCCATGACCTTGTGCTTTATCTTTATCCGTTCTATGAGCTTAACTATACCCTACTAGATCTCCATGACCTTGGGCTTTACCTTTTCCATGAGCTTTTCCACCTCGTTCTTCTTCGCCGTTTTTAACCGACGGTTAAAAACGTTGGAAGGAAAAACGTTGACTGATAGGTCCACACACAACAGTTTTTTTCGCGCCAGTTTATCACGATGGACCGTACGTGCTTGTTAACAGAGGCAGCGGTTTTGGCAGTGGAAAAGATCGTGAAAAAAGAAAATCTCGAAGAAAATTGACTAAAAACTGGCTACTTAAACGCAGCACACTGTCACAAACAAATTTACTGGAGGAGCTAAGATTGGAGCCTGGTGATTGGCACAATTACTTGAGGATGGACGAGGATACGTATCGGAAACTGATAAAACTATTAACACCGTTAATTGAGAGACATAATACCCATTTACGGGAATGCATCAGTCCTCACGAACGCCTAACAGCTACTCTGCGGTTTCTGGCCACTGGCCGCAGCTACGAGGATCTGAAGTTTTCTGTTATTATTTCATCGCAGGCACTAGGACGCATAATACCCGAAACCTGCCAAGCTCGATAAACTCTAATACAAAATCTCTGTTACACTGCCTAATATCCGACATTTTTTATTGTAAATAATAATAAACAACAAAAACATGCTGAACGTCACTGCTACTGATAAATGCCCGACCAGCCAAACTGTTGAGAACACACACCTCGTGTTTACTCGAACGGTTGGCACGATAACCGTCAAAAATTAAGACTCGCCTGAAATTTTGGAACGACGTTCATAATCGACGTTCTTGACCATACACCTCGTTTTTGTGACATTTTTACCCTGACGTTTCTAACCGTCGGTTAAAAACGGCGGAAAAGAACGAGGTGAGTGGGGCCCTTATAAGTTGTTAAACGCATCGTGACAGATAATGACAATTAATATTATGATTTCTTTTTTTCCAATTAAAATATATAGTAGTAGTCGAGCGTCCGAGAGATTCACACGTGTGTTTGTTGGCTCTTCGATTTTTCGAGTTAAAAGTGGTGTTTTAAACGTGAATCCCGGTATAAAATCTTCAAGAATACGTTATACTAGTGTGTTAGCCAATTGGTGTAAAAAAAAAAAAAATAACTATCATATCACAGTTTTGTTTAGTTCGTTGCCTTTTTTTTTACACAATTTGGATATTTTTAAATCGAGTAAGTACCTATTCAACAACAAAAAGCAAGGACAAGTTTTTTGGTCAGTATATTGGCTACGTCTCTATTTACCAGTATGCCTATCTGTGACCTTTGCACTGGTGGAATCACCAACAAAACACCGGGTCTGAAATGTTGTGGACCGTGCGAGAAATTCTTTCATGGCAAGTGCGTATCGCTGAATAAACAGGATCTCGCTCGCTTCGTTCAGCCCGATGCTTTGTGGCTATGTCCAAGCTGTCGGAAGACCCCTGCTTCGAAAACAACTTCAGTAATTGGTTCTATCTCCGTGGACCACGATGAAGATACTTTTACGTCAGCGACAGCTATGGGAATTCTTCGGAACATTCAATCTGAAATAACATCGCTTAACAAAAAATACGATGCGGTATTAACGTCAGTAAACTTTTGTAGTGACCAAATTTCGTATTTTGAGGATACAATGAAAAAATTCAATGACAAACTTTCTCAGCTACAAAAAATAACAGAAGAAAACGTAGAACTTAAAAAAACTGTCCGAAGCCTTTCTGACAGAGTTGAGGTGCTCGAGCAAAACACTCGAGCAAACAATTTAGAAATTCAAGGCGTTCCTGAAAAAAATAATGAAAATTTATATGACATCTTAGGAAAAATTGGCGATCACATCCAATGTACTATTTCAAAATCAATGATCGATTCTGTCCATAGAGTATTCCAACAATCCCAACAATCTAAAAACCTACCTAAACCCATTATAGTTAAGTTTATATCCAAACAGAAAAAAGAAGAAATTTTAGCATCTGCTAAAAATACACGCTCAAGTTACAATAACCCTATTGGTCCAGGTTTGATTATTGATAATGTCTCAAAAAAGCTATTTATTAATGAACATCTCACAGGAAAGAATAAAAGTCTACTTATGAAATCCAAAAATAAAGCAAAGGAGGTTAATATTAAATACATTTGGGTTCGGAACGGAACTATTTTTGCAAGAAAAGACGATACTTCGCGAATTTTAAAAATCTCTTCTGAAGAGGATCTTAATAATTTAAATTAATTACATTGTTATAATATCTACTGATTTTTTTTAATAATGAACTCTACTATAACGTTTTCTACTTTTTACCAAAACGTTCGAGGTCTCAAATCTAAAATCTCTACTATTTTCAAAAACTCATTAATTTGCGAAAACGACATCGTTTGTTTAACGGAAACCTGGCTGAATAAAACTGTTTTCGATTCTGAACTTTTTTGTGATAAATACGTTGTATATCGTCGGGACCGTGAAGAATCAGCTTGTGTCAAAACAGAAGGAGGAGGAGTCCTGATAGCTGTCGACAAAAAATACCAAAGTGTTTCACGTCAAGACTGGTATTCCGATGCAGAGGACCTGTGGGTTACAGTAACTAATAATAATCTGAAATTTCACATGGGATGTGCGTATATCCCTCCGGGTGATTTAGTGGCGCTAACGAATTTTTGTTCGAAAGTGTGTGATATTTTTACAAATTATCCTAATGACGTAATAGTCATTACTGGAGACTTTAATTTGCCAAATATTAAATGGTCACTGGATAAAGTTAACAAAATGTATGTTCCTCATAATTATAACGATCCAAGTTCAAGTTTATTTATAAATTCTATGTCTTTTAGTAACAATGCAATTTCAAAATTTTGAAAATTTTTCAGGAAATGTTCTCGATTTAATACTCAGTAACAAACTTAACATAAATAATATTTGTAAATCTGATTTTCCACTAGTAAAAGAAGATCGATCACATACCACGTTAGAATTCACAATTTCTATTTCAGGAGATAAAAAAATGCCACAGAGTAACACATTCAAACAATATAACTTTTGTAAAGCAAATTATCAATCTATTAATAATGCCTTGTTGGCAATAAATTGGGATATAAAATTTAACAATTTAAATACCAGTCAATGTACAAATATATTCTATTCTCTATTAAATGATCTAATTGAAGAACATGTCCCGAAAAATTCAAAATCTTATAAAAAATTTCCATCATGGTATACTCTTGAAACAATTAAAGTCCTAAAGGAAAAGAAAAAATATCATTCTTTATGGAAAAGGTATGAAAATAAATTAGATTTTCTAACTTTCAAATTATTGCGAGGGCGATCCAAATACCTCATTTCTCAAGATTATGCAAAATACATTAAAACTTGTGAGAGTGGCATTTCAGAAAACCCTAAAATGTTATGGCAGTTTATAAAATCAAAAAGGAAAAATCCTGATACTATTTCATTTCTTAAAAATAACAATAATTTAGTCACCGATATCAAAGATGTCTGCAATATTTTTGCAAACTACTTTTTATCATCTTTTAACTCTACTAATTCAAAAATTTCCTTACATGAATTTGACAAAACACATCACGGGCATCATATAAAGAACTATCACATTGACGAACATAGAATCATAGAAAAAATCAAAAACTTACCTAATAAAGCAGCAGGCCCTGATAATATTCATACTAATTTGATAAAAAATTGCGTTGTTGGTTTATCCCGGCCATTATTTTTAATTTTTAATAAATCTCTATGTGAGGGGCATTTTCCTGAGATATGGAAAACTGCTCATGTTATCCCTATACACAAATCTGTTGACAAACACTTAGTAGAAAATTTTAGGCCAATATCTAAATTATGTATTATTGCAAAATTATTTGAATCTTTAATTTTTGATTTTCTTTTCTTTGACGTTATTAATATACTCAACGATGAACAGCATGGTTTTATAAAACAACGGTCTGTAGACACGAATCTCTTCATATATTCTGAATACATTTTGAGTAATCTAAACAACAGACTTCAGGTGGATTCTATCTACACTGATTTCAGCAAAGCTTTCGATAAACTTGATCACGGTATCTTATTAAAAAAATTATCTGAAGTTGGTGTAGATAGAAACCTTCTGAAATGGTTTCTATCTTACCTCAGTGACCGTTGCCAAGCTGTATCCGTCGGTAACTGTTTATCGTCTTATTCAAAAGTCTGTTCCGGAGTCCCGCAGGGCTCCCATCTTGGACCCCTCTTGTTTAATATTTATGTGAATGATATATCAACCTGCTTTAAATCTGCACGTTTTCTTATGTATGCTGACGATTTAAAAATTTACCACACCATAAATAATATCGCTGATTGTGTCTTAATACAAAATGACCTTGACCGACTCTATAAATACTGTCAAGATAATAGTTTATTTTTAAACCTGAATAAATGCTTCCAAATAAGCTTTAGTCGCAATATTAATCTGATAAAATTTCAGTATAACTTAAATAACTTAAATATTAACTCTGTATCTGATATTAAGGATTTAGGTATAATTTTTGACTCAAAAATGTTATTCAACCAACACATAGAATATGTCACAAATAAGGCAAATAAAATGCTGGGATTTATCATGCGTTCTTCTTTTGATTTTACAAATATAAACACTCTTCGTTCACTTTATATGGCATACGTTAATAGCGTATTAAGCTATGGTTCGGTTATTTGGAATCCGCAATATAATGTCTACATTAACTGTTTGGAAAATATACAATATAAATTTATAAAATTTGTTCATAAAAAAACCCTTTCACAATATACAGAAGACTTTTACGCAACATAAAATGAACCTAATTCCACTTTATAACAGAAGGAAAATTACAGACATTACTTTTACATATAAAGTTTGTAACAATTTAGTAAATTCAATTCCCATTAATAGCATGATTAATTATAACGTTTCTTTTTATAATACCCGAAGCAATAATTTGTTTTACTCAGATACAAGTAATACTAATTACTTTAAAAATTCTCCTTTACATAGGTGTATTAAAACTCTCGACACAATAATGAACGTACTAGAAGTTGATATTTTTTCTATTTCCGAAAGTGCATTCAAAAATTGCTTAAAAAAACACTTTTTGTCTAGTGTACCTTAAAATCTTAAATTACGACATATTTTTTAATGTAAAATTTTTGAATTTCTGTTATAATGCAATAACTTTAGTATTTTTTCTGTTCTCTTATTTCTTATTTCACATTTATTTCGTATCTAGTGTAATAATATTTTGTTATTAATTAGGTTAAAGTTGTTTAGTTTAAACCCATTATGTAAGAAGCATTGGGAACACTTTTTTGGGTATGTCCTGTTTGTGTTCCAAACAAAATAAATAAAATAAAATAACGAAAGAAGGTAACCCATTTCGACAGATTACCTTCTGTCTTAACTGCCAGAGTGCTACCTTCTGCTCTTAATACACAAATAGCTATTTCTTTCAATCTAATAAAAAGAGGTTATTTTATTTGCGTTACGTGCATACGCCAGAGCCCGTAAGCTTGCGTATTTACGTAAATGTCAATGTAAAGAACATTTAAATACGCATGCGTAGATGTCAATTTTCACGTATACGTTTACGTTCATAGCATCACTTCAACCCTTTATTAAGTCCTACCAGGATTCTGTGTCTTTCTTGGATTCCATCAGCTTGAACGTGCCCTTCTCTGTTTAGATGACCTTAGATATGACCTTCGAATTTTCCATGATGTTCTTTATGTTCATTAGTTTTATGATCTTGAATATCTCCTTGTACATTTACATTATCTTGAATATGAACATTTTGTAATTCATCTACTACATTTGATTTTACTTGTACATCTGGTCTTTCAGCATTCTCCTCTACACGTACGACTCCATGTTCTTGTATTTTTCCATCTTTTTGAAAATGTTCGTTTCCATGATATCCGTGTCCACTTAAGTTCCAATGATCTTGCCAATATCCGTTATAATGGCCATTAATTTTGTCATTTTCTTGTTCCTTCACATATCCAGGTCCTAGCCAAGGTCCTGTCCAGTCATTAAAATATGGATATCGACCTATACCTCCATATGTAAAGCCGTATATCCCTGCCCGTGACCATAACCATGTACAGTGCCGTGTAGCTTTCCCTGTCGGTGTGAATTCAAATTTAGATTTTCTCCACCTGCAAATAAACCATCTACAATATTTTGAAATGTTTTTGTATCAATTAAATATTTCTTTAATAATACATATACATAATATGGAGATCAGCTTTTTATCGGCAATGTACAGTGTTTCTAGGACCTGGACAACCACGAATATGTCATTGTGTTCACTAAGTACCAATTCATAAACTTCTTGAAGGAGCAAGTGTAATATAAGGACATTGTTTTTGGATTTCAAGAAAGCGTTATCCATTACTATAACTGAACCCTTTGGTAAATGTTCTATCATCTGCTAAAAATATTCTTCAAAAACATCAACGTTCATATCTTCATGGTAGTCTCTGGCTTTTTAGATTAAAATATTAAAGAACCACTTCCAAAATGAGTTATAATTAGACGTCGTCCTTTACCGGAAGGAACCTTTAATCCTGTATATATTCCTTCAAAGAAAGCTTGTTGTGAAGATTAAATGTTTGTGTCCCGCCACATTTTGCTAACTGTGTAACCTTCAGTCCCCCAGGTTTCGTCTATATAAAATATTTTTTTGCCTTCTGCACGTAATTTAAAAATGGTTCTGAGGTATCTCCGTCTCCAACAAACAATTTCATCATAATCAATAAGTGCTGCTTTCCTCTCCTGTTTATCCCACTTGATCTTCAAATCTATTAAAGTTTCCCGTAGTTTTGTCTTTCCAATTTTAGGAAAATACGGATCTCTATTGATTGCGTCCAATACCTTGGCAAGTGTTGGTATCTCTTTTTTGAAATAAAATTCGTGAACTTTTCTTCTTACCTCCTGCATTTTTATTTGGGGGTTTAACTCCACTTTTTAATTCACTTATAACTTTATATATCGTTGATTTGCTTGCACTTATCATATTACTTGTCTTTTCAACAGTATAGTCAGCAGAAAACGAAGGATTTTCCATTCTTAGGCAATTATAAACATTGCTTACAAATATTTTCTCGTTAACTGAAAACGCACACTTTTTTACACGTTTCACAGGTGTAAACTTTGAACTTGAACCACACTGCATTTTTCAATGCTACTGTCACTATTAACCGAAAATAACCACAACTGCTTACTATAATAGATAATATAGGAGACTAATCGAATAGGGTAAGTAATATTGGGAACTGATCAAGATACTAAGGTGCAACTGCCTATCTTATCTTCAAACCAAATCCTAGGTATCTTATAATCCCACCCTCTTGTTATAATTTTGGTTTTTCCATGGCATTAATAATCTCCAAGAAGATGATAATATAACGATTAACCCTTAGATTATAGATATAGTCACATTTATATATTTTGAATCCTCAGATTACTTTCTATATTCTAAGCTAAAACCTTTCTCTCCACTTGTCATTAACTTTCACCTTGACATCAAAAATTTCCAATAAGTCAATGATGAATAACCATTTAAACAATTTAATGTAGGTATACCTAATGGTCGAATTTATAGGCCTTGAAAAATATTTATTATATACCTTGTTATTAATTTACTCAAACAGATAACTCTACCATTTACATAACAATTTTAAATAACTCAAAAAACCTTTTTTATAGTACCTACATACCGAAATAATACTCAATAATACATATTCAAAAAAATATATTTTAAATGATGATTTTATGTACCCCGTAAATAATAATATAGGCAACCGCACCTGAAATTTCCTAATCTAACAAATATATTACTCCGTGTCGATTGCGATTTTACTTCGATAAATTAATTAGAGATATAATCTAATGAATACAACTCTTGGTATCAAAACCATCGATAATGCTCTCAACGTTTTGTCAAGTGATAATTTTACTCGTCATTCGGACTTTTTGAGAACACGTTGCGTGTATTAGCTTATGTAATTATTGATAAACCCGATGCCGCTCTGATAACATCCCGTGATAGTTATTAGTGTATTCAAGGGTTGATTGGATATCCTGGTACACGTGACTGAAACAACTTTGATTAGTTTTTTTATTGAGGCCAATAATTTTCATCAAAATTTCGCCAACGTGTTGATTACATTGTTTTTCAACACACAAGGACGGACCTTTACAATATATTCTCTCCAACTACGTTCTATAGTCCTAAATTAGTACAAAAGCATACAAATTATGTAAAAGCGCCAACGAACCAAGGAAATTCTCGAATATTTTTTTTTATTCTTCATTTTCAATCTCTTTTAACAACAGATTTTAGTCTAAAAATAATATTGTAGAAAAGAATACAATCCCTTGTACTCATAGAATATAATTATCGGATTTTTTAAATGCAATCACGCTTACTCTTTTGAATAACTACCGGAAAAAATTTAAATATTCATGAACGCATCTGCTGGTAAACTTTGTAATCTTTCCATTGTGTTTTAAGTTCGCGATTAAGAATTTTGTCAACGAATTTGCATTTTTCCAACTTCATTAATTTTTGTAGACGGAATTTTCAATTAAATAACGCGGTACTCCCATGTCAGTAAAGCTTTTACGATTTAACGTATGGAAGCTCTAAAAGCTTTATCACATGCACTCTATATGGTTTACCCTATAAAACAAAGGATGTCGTTTTCGATTCTAAAACATAATTAAAGAAGTTTCTTCGAAATTCGTATCGCTTAACTACGAGATAGACAAGTATCCCTGCTTTTTAACAAGACAAAGTTCAACATCAAAAGGTTTAATTCAACATTATTATTTGCAACTATCAAAGGAAATAATACGTACAAAAAAGTAATGCTTACAATGTAAAAACCGCTTTTAAATATCTACAAAACTACGAGGTGTGTCGGGAAAGTAAAGGTAATTCGCATATAGGAAGTTATCGATCATCCGTCACACGCCCCACTCCTAGTAGTTGATTAGAAAGTTTGAACTGGAACATAAAAAAAAGTATGAATAACAATCTTAATAGAATACAAGATAATAGATCGTATTCATAAAAAAGGGGATTTTCTTTTACTTGCAGTAATCGAAGCATTTCCTTCACATTCTATTCATAAAAATAAGAAGGAAAAGTTTTGGACTTGAAGCAAAAAGGTTTTGCTCCGAAGGAAAAGGTTTTACCTTCTTGGTATTTACAAACAGTAGCTTTAAAATTAAAGGATTCAGAAAATAAGCATCTAGTCTAGAGAAACTTCTGTAGTAAATGATTATTTACTTGTAGGGCGAAGGTGTTTAGTTGTGAATTGAATTATTTATTAAATTAAAACTTTTCACGTACGTGCACCAATACTTTACTATGAAAGACGTACTACACGTGAGTGCGACTTTCGAACCCTTTTTCGGTTTGACGAAAATAATGTGCAGTGGTTAGCAGAGTACTTTATCGGCGAGAATCTGGAAACCAGAGGAGGTGCGCTTTCGCCAGTACAAAAAATAAAAATATTTTTACGGTACATGAAAGATCCGGGCTTCCAGAGCGGTATCGGAAATTGGATGTACAGAGCCTACAATCTCCAGAATCGTCGGTACCACTCTCGGTCTCATTGTGGACAAAGCGGATGAGTGGATCAAGATCCCATCGACCGAAAACGAAATTATTAAAGCCAAAATGAAATGGGCAGATAACAAAAATTGCCCAACTGCAATAGGAACTATCGACTGCACGCATGTTGAAATTGAAAAGCCTCGTCTATTTGGGGATTAATATATAAATCGAAAAAATTATGCTAGTATTAATAATCAGGGCATATGTAACCATAATTATGTTTTTATTAATATCAATGCACGGTGGCCCGGCTCCGCACATGACTGTCGAATTTGGAAAAATTATTCTACTCATGAAATCATGCGGCGGACGATAAATACTGTATTATTGGGGGACAGTGGCTATGTTATATTATGTTATGTTGAGAATGGGGTGTTAATACACTGCGAACTAAAAGATCTATTGTGCCCCCTTCTGTCGCCAATGCACTAAGATAATGTCTCAATGCTTATAACGACCCTTCCAATCCTATTTTCTCAAGGAAGTGTGGGATTTGAAGTGGCTTTAAGTTAGGTAAATCTCCCTATTATATTTGATATCCTCCTAGATATAGTGCCCTTGGATTCTGGAGTGCTACACATTCAGTTAGGATGTGAATGGAGGTTTTGTCCTCCTCCTCATAGAATCTACACTCACTATCCTCTACTACTCTCAGTTTACTTAGGTGTCCTTTTAGTCGGCAATGCCCCGTAAGGATCCCTGTTACAATACGTAGCCTGTTCTTTTTTAGGCAGATGCAGGCTTCCGATCTTTTCTGGTTATATTCACTCAGAAGTATCTTGGCCTGTCTCAGCTCCAAGAGATTCTTCCAATTATCGATTCTTCTACTGCCCAATTCTTTCTTAATCTCTCCTAATATTAAGTTACTGCTGATACCGCAGAAAGACTCAAGTCCTACAAAGGGTGTTTGAGCCCCTTTCCTTGCAAGACTATCTGCAATCTCGTTATCCTGTACCTTGTTATGTCCCGGGACCCAGGTGAGAGTAACTCTATTTTTCTCGCCTAGCTCACTCAATTTTTCTAGGCATCTCCATACCATTTTTGAGCTGATTACGTAAGAACTCAGCTGCTTAACTATTGGATATGATGATAATCTCTTGTCTATGATAGTTCCTCTCGATGTTAAACTGGATACACTTTTTGATGGCGTGAATTTCCGCCTGGAAGATGCTTGGGTATTTTCCCAAGCTTTCGGAGTGCTTGGTTCTTGGCCCATACACTCTTATTCCAGTCCCTTCTATGGTTTTGAAACCGTCCGTATACCACTGAATAGCACGTGTTTTCGGTTGCAAGCGCGATGGATTCTTGGCTCCATTCTTTCTTGCAACCCAGCTCTGTGGTTTTGAAGTTTTTCACAAAATTGTACTTCTTTAGCATTTCATCCTGGGACATGTCCCAGGTATCTTTAGTCCTGAAGCAAGTAGACTTTCGTCTGATTACTCCGTTCCTGATTATTCTATATCGTGTCCTTTTTGTCACATTCTCTATCATCAAATGTAGAGGGGTGAGTTTTAAGATCACCTCCATTGCGGCTGTAGGACAGGTTCTCATTGCACCAGTAATACAAACACAGGCTAGTCTTTGTACTTTTGAGATATTAGCTCTCGTAGTAGCTAAACTAGTTCTGTTTCTCTAGGCTATAGCCCCGTAAGTGATGATTGGTCTCACTATTGCAGTGTACATCTATCGCAGTATGTTTGGGTTACATCCCCATCGTTTACCTGCAATGTTTCTGCATACCATTAGGGCTTTTGTGGCCTTATTACCTACTTCCTTCTCATGTGTGTTCCAGAGAAGTTTATTGTCCAGGGTTAGACATAGATATTTGACTTCATTTTTCCATTCTATATCTATCCCGTCTAATTTAACGGTTTTGAGATTAAGTTTTCTTTTCCTTGAAAAGGCTACTAGTGTTGTTTTACTATGTTCTAGTCCTCGTTGGACTATATCACACAGGATATTACTAAACTTGCCACTAGCAAATATGACTATGTCGTCGGCATAACCTTGACAGGGTATGCCGAGGTCAGTCAATCTGCATAGAAGTTCGTCTACGATTAGGCTCCACATTAGTGGGGATAGAACTCCTCCTTGTGAACATCCTCTGGTTGTGCAGATGGAGATGGTGTCCTGCCTTATCTGTGTCTCTGCAGTACTCGTAGGTAACAGCTGAGCCATCCATCTGGATGTGATGTTATCTACTCCTCTGTATGCAAGTGCTCTTTTTACAGATTTGTGTGGCGTGTTTTCAAAAGCTCCTTCTATGTCTAGGAAGGCACACATGACCGTTTCTTTGTTTGTCAGTGCATGCTGGATTACGTCAGTCAACTGTACCAGGGCAGTTTCTGTAGATCTTCCTGCTCGGTACGCGTGTTTGCTGTAGACTTCCGTTCTGATATAATTATCAACAGCCTTCTCCATTGTTTTTAATACAAAGGATGTGAGGCTGATTGGTCGGAAGGATTTAGGATAGCTCCAGACTGCTTCGGGATAGCCGGATTATGTGTGGTAGTAATTCTTCCTGTGCCTGCTGAAGCAGGGCAGAAAATATTCCATCCACACCTGGAGACTTAAACGGTTCAAAAGTGTTTACGGTCCACTTTAACCGATTTATGCTACATATGTGTTTGGCCACTACAGCGGCCTCTCTTGGGGGCCTGCTCACCTTAGTTGTGTCCTTTATTAGAAAAGGTGTGCTTCCAGGAATGGAATTTCGAGTAAGAGGCGAGCTTTTTCCTCCTCACTCTCCGTGAAGCTTCCATTTGGTTTCTTTGATGCCATAACTGTATCAACTCTCCCTTGTGCCAGGGCCCTGTGCAGTCTCGCTATCGCAGGTGTAGAGTTAACATCCTCGCAGATTTTTCTAAAGCTGTTACGTTTAGCTATGGTTTGGCTATGGTATAAAGCCCTATCTGATGACGCCCTTCTTTGTCGTAAAAAAACACAGCGGAGACTGCCTTTAATAGATTTTTAAAAAAAGAGAGAGTGATTATAGAACATGCTTTTGGATAGTTAAAACGGCGGTTTCCTATTCTTAAATATGTCTGTCAAGTGAAAATGGAGAATATTCCGAAGGTAATAGTCGCATGTGCGGTGCTTCATATTTTCAAAAAGCCTTAGCGATGCCGATTTCGAGGATGCGGACGAAATGGAAGATAAGAAATTGCAAGACATACCGGAAATGGTGGATGCAGCTACGCGAGTTCAAGGTCAAGCTCGTCGTACACAATTAGCTCAGCTTATTAACAATAATAGCATAGGTGAATATATTCTACTTTAATGAACACAATTATATTAGTGTAAACCTCTTTTTACTCTAAAGACATATTTTCGTAGGTACCTACCTATCTGCTCAAATAACAAAATAAATAAAAAAATAATTTTATTTTGATGAGTTTTTTTTATCCAAGATGGCTTACTAGGAGGTAAATATCAACGCCAACCTTTTGGTAACAATTTTTACATTATTAGTGCTAGTAAATTATTAAGGTTAGTAGCCTACCTTCTGGTCAGTAATGGAGCGATATAGTGATTTGTTTGAAGCTGAAGTTGAGAGAATCGATGAGGTTCAATCTTTGTCAGGACCTTCCAATCATAATTTACTAGCCCTTATAATAGCAAAAATGTTTGCCTAAACGTTGGCTTTGGAGAAGATATTTCAAATAAATTTGTCCAATCAAGCTGATATTTCCTTCGTATTATAATTTTTATATTTGTCCACAGGAGTCTGAAAACCTACGGACATGGACTGCTGCTGTGAAAGAACATTATTGGTTTTATATGGGTTTACTTTCCGAGATGTAAATTCATTTAATTTTAGAAGTTTCTTTCTAAAATAAAACTTAAATAAAATATTATTACAATATTTCATATGTTTTCTCACTCTCGTGGAAAAATGCTGGAGAATGTGGGTCTCGTTCCTTCAGTTTGGTATTAAAGTACTGTTGCTGAAGACGAGCAACCTTGAGCTGTTATAACAGCACTAACCGCTGAAGTTGACTGTTAGATAGTTTTCTCGTTTCCTCGGTTTCATGTACTCCTTCTTCAGTTGTTGCCGTCTTTCGTTTGCCAGTTTTTTCTGCTGGTTGTGTTGAAAGTTGTGCTGTGACATGACGATCAAACTGCTATGGTTCTCCTACTTCTGGGCCGCCTTCAAAAAAATTGTGATTGAATACCATAAAATATCTACAGACTTCTGTACTTCATCGCTACCATCATTATCGTTTCCCATGGTAGTAATGGTGGAATTCACTTGTTACCCGTTTTGTTCTTGTCGGTTTTCTTCTTCAGTCTTGTCTTCATATTACCCACCTTTTTCATTAATGTTTTCAAGGTCATGTCTCTTCCATATAGCTGTCTGTACTCTGTGATATCTTTCTCCATAGCCTTTTGCTTCTTAGCTATTTTCGCGGAGAGTTTAGATTTTTCCAATAATTCTGGGTATTTTTTTTTATCCTTTCGGCAATAAACATACATTCAGATTGCTCATCCGGCTGTCTTGTGACTCTAATTGGTCGTCTGACACTTCCTCGTCACTTGTCATCTTTAGTTATAATGTTGTAAATATCGAATGTAAAATAAAAACTCCGAATAAAACTTTCTATATTTATATTTACCAGCACACACTCCCACATGCCCCGGTATACTACTATAATAACATTAATAACGCACTATGACCCCTCCTCTGCAACTGCTAGTTTTAACTTAACTTACCTCACTCGCGTGTGTATACCTTTTCCTTTTTTGCGAGGATTTGCTTGCAAAAAAGGAAAAGCTTATATATACGAAGTAAAGTAAAATTTGTTCCTTTTACCTTTTTCTTGTGAGCTTTACCTTTCACTTCATTTTTATAAATACGGCCTATTGACAATTCAAAATGCAGGTGTGCGAAGTTGGGCAAAGTTGTACAAATATGTTTTTTTCCTGCAATTCAAAAACCATTAAATTGTGTGTCCTATTGCTACGCGCCAGAGCCATCTTCAAATATTTTAAAATTCAATGATATAATGTACAATAGCTATATGTATATTAAGAGCGGAAAGTGCTACTTTGCCGCTTAAGACAACCAGTTTATCGTAAGCGGCAAATAGCTTTCCGCTCAAACTACACACAACATTTTTTTCTACAATCACACGGTATTAAAAGTATATAGTTTTATTTTGCCGAATTCAAATCTTACTACGTTAATTTATCAGACACGGCTAACTTGACTAGCAAACGAAAAGTATGTTATGTGTATATTGTGTTGCCTGCTTACTTGAAGATTAATTTTATGATTAGCATAAAAACTATTTGTTAGTAAGTTCATCTAAAAAATAACTTCCAAGATCGGTTAGATAACTCTTAATCGCAAATTGATGGCTCATCCACTGTTTTAAATTTTGCAAAAAAAAAATCAATGTAAAATTTAAAAAAATAACCGGTGAGGATTGAATTCACGACCTTTAAGGTTGAAAGACCAACACGCTACGCCCTAAACCAACAAGACATGTTAAATATGAGTGTTAAAAACAGGGTAAATTATTTTTAATATTTGAATTATCATTTAAATATTAAGGAAAATGAGTTTGAGTATTAAATGTTCAACTAAAAGATTCAAATTAGTTTACTTTTCTTTTAAAATACAGATTAGCTTTATAATAACAACCTTTCTAATGAAAATAGGCGTGTGCAAAAAGTAACTTTCCGCCTATATGCGGCAATAATAGACCTTTTCATCATGTGATGAGCGCAAGCGCAGCCGCCATGTTCAAATAGCGGTAATTCAAAAGTTTCGTACTGTTTTTCGACAATGGCTGGAGAAGCAATATTATCTCTACAGAAAAATTAATCATAAAAAAAAATATTTGATGGTGAGTAACTTTTTTATAACTCTGTGGAAACTCATAGTTGTGAGCAGTTGAAAACGTGGTTGAAGTGTCTTAGACGTTTGTTACAAAGGAAAAAAGTGGACTGATTGAGAGGTTAGGTGTCTTAATACTTCTTAACTGTGTAAAAATTAATGAAAACAAATAATAATTATAACTCTATTCTAACTAGTTACGTCAACCAACTATTAGTACTTGCAAAATCACTTTAATTAACATGAAAATGAATCACGAGTATAATTAATAAAATAAATTATTTAATATTTTGAGGATCAACGTTGTTAATCATATTACTGTGTTTTATTTATTATTAAAAAATATTGTGTAATAACAGATAAGAATTTTCTTCTGTTGGGCCACTTTGTCCATGAAAATGTAGTAAACAAATATAAGTATCTTTAGTAACATCTTCAATCCATCGAAAACCGTTGTCACTTCGACATTTTTTCACACCTAATGCACAATTTAAACATGTTTTAATGTGGATTTTGCCTGACAAATAATTTTTTACGATATTGTAGCCAAGGCTTTGGAAAATTTACAAAAAAATATACATTGCCTTTGAATGATATATACTGTGTGTCACTTTTACATACTCCATAACAACACCGTTTCTTTGTTCCTTTCTGTACAGATAACATAATTATAATCGATTTCAAAAATGTATTTTTCAATTAAGATACTAAACTTATTATTACTTTGCTTTTTCTTCCTATTTTTAAATGAATATGCTTAAATTAATATTTATCGATTATAATTTTTTTCACGTGGGCATTTTAACATGCTTATTTACAAAAACAGTACGAAAAAGATGGCTGAAACTAAGGCCTGCGCACAAAAAAAAATTGTGATGAAAAGGTCTATGTCAAACTATGACAATTCATGAAAAACGTCAACTTTCCAGTTAGATTTGAATGTGCAAAAGCCTACTTTGGATAGTGAAATTAATTATAAAATATGTTGTTGTTATTAGAGAGTTATTGCAAATTTCTATAACGCCAGCCACTAATAGTGACATCGTAATTAGAGTCAAATAAATTCCATGTTAAAATCAGACTTATTGCAAACCTGAAATTTTGGCATTAGAATCCTTGTCATTGTACTTATTTTTAACCTCATTTTAATAACTATAAATTGTAGTTCATCTTTTTTGTTGTCTATAATAGTACATAATATTGAAGAGGCATTAGAAATTATAATTTAAGAAGATTTAGATGAGGATTACTTTAAATATTTAATTTTAAAAAACTTCGAACGGATACGAATGTCGGCGAGTGCACCCGAAAGCTATAAAGTCGCCACTACCTGCTGCCCTTAAACATCAACAATTAAGGACAGGCACAATCTTTAATAAAGTCAGTTTTAAAACATAAACGAATCTGCGTATGCTTAGATGTCAAAATAAGAGCGGCACCACATACTTAAAGAAAATCAAAGTATGAGAGCGGCACTAATAGTGACTGACTTTAAGTGAACTTGCAATAACTCTCTATTAAAGCTTATTATATATTATTTATACAGGGTGATTTATGTGGATTATAAATAGAGTAACAGAAGTATCTGTGAAATAATATTTGCCATTTTTTGACAATATATTTATAGTATTATAAAATTTACGTCTATTTGTAGAATATTGAATTATCGGATAATTATCCGGACATTGGAAACACTGCTAAGATAACAAACAGACACTGTCTAGATAACAAACAGACACTGTCTAGATAACAAACAGACACTGTCTATACTCCACACATTGTCTACATAAGCAAGGCGGAGATTTTCGTAGCCCGCTTGCATGTAAAAATTCCATACTTGAACCTATGAACGCGAGTAACATCGTCCGAATACGTGAATTGGGAGCGCCACTCCGCAACATCTGCTAACGAAAAATATATTGAACGCAAGTAAATTAAAGGAGCCGTATGAAAGTTATAAATAGTCATGTAATATACATTTTTTATTAAAAATTGGTTTCTCTCTGTACTGGGGAGCTGGAGACCTAGAGTCCTTACAGACAAGCTGCCACTGTTTAAATCTCGTTTAAACTAAGCATTCGCGACACAATAATTCTTTCAAGTTTGTACCCGAGACAGACACCAATCTGATCTTGCTCGAGGTTATTCGCTTATAAGATAAAAGGCAGACCATGGAGGAAGGATAATTAAGAGTTGCCGTTTCTTTGTATAAATATGGCAACATGTTTGCCTTCAGCGACATGTGGGATAGTTTTGTGCAACTAATACTCAGTCGGTAATATAAAAAGCTGTAATGCTATTTTAATTTGAAAAGTGGCGGGCTTTTGAATTTACTTCGACAAAATATAAGAATTTTACATTTTTAATAGCATTTTTTAACACGCATCTCATGCGTGTTAAAAAATGCTAATAAAAATGTAAAATTTTATGTTAAATAATTTTAGAGGTATAAAATAAATAATACAAAATTGTATTATAACTAAATATTATTTGTTGAATCTTTATTGGTTACAACAATAAACATAATATATATTTTCTGAATAAACAACTATTTTAAATAACACAAAACGAACAAAATTTTTCTTTAATCGTGCGAAATAAAACAAGAGTTCCATCCATAAATCCTGAAACGAAAAGAAAAAAAAACAATTGTTGAAAGCGAAAAACTTCCTAAAGCACATGATTTTGATTGTAGGTATGTGACTAATTACTTTTGCATTTGCAGCGATTTAACTAATTTTTAATTTACTACTTCTAATTTCTATAACGTCTAATTAAGATTTTCTTGCTTTATGTAATGAAAATACTTTAGATTTATAAAGATTGAAAAGTTTGGTTATAATACATACAATTAAATTGGCATATCTAGGATAATTATCAAAATGAATATAAGAATAATAACTTTGTTAAGGATTTCAATATTTGGGGATAACACAATTACGAATAATAATCCTTTTTTCAGTTGACAATAAAATGAAAATGTATCTTCTAAAACAGTGTAAATGGGCCAGAACAATTTGCTATTACATTCAAATATATGCATTTATAGGACATAGACATGCAAAAGTATTAAAATAAGTTTACTTACAGTAAATTATTACTAAATTTATGCCTAAAACTGTATTAAATAAAAGTAAAACTCACTTAGAATTGTTTACATCGACAGCCATATTGTATTTTGTATCATTCGGGTTTCGTTTATCGAGTCGACTCGAGCATTAACGAGATTTGGGTTTTGTTATCCAAAGCCAGGTTTACATTGTACAAATAATTGAATAAATTCATATTTTTTCAATTTTACGATTGATAAATAAAAAAAAATGTGAAACTATTACTTTTGGCAAGTTAATAACACATTTTTATTGAGATATTATGTAATTATTCTGTTTTCTTTATATTTTATATATAATTGTGTTATTGTAAAACGGACGTACGCCAGTTTCGATGCGCAGTAACTTGTTGACAAAATGCACATATGCTATAAACCCCCGTGAGGCAGACAGAAGTTGAACCGGCCTTTCGCAGTTCTCCTACTTCATGC